ACAAGTGCGCTTTAAGCAGTTGGCTAAAATTAACTTTTGATACTTCTTAGCATGATTTTATGGATGCTGATGATTTACTTAGGCCCTTTTGCTTTGTATGGATGATTTGAACAGGATGATGGTATTTTAGCCATTCCAACTACTTCTGAGCCTCCTCCGAAACTTGGTTCAAAGGAAACTTTATCAGAGGACTACCAGATTCGTGCTACTATGCTGACGAGCTTAGTCAGCATGTCAGGTTGCTGTCAGGTTAGGTTCTCTCCCGTGCATGAGAATTGTGTTTAAGCTGATTGTGGGCTCATGGTTTCCTCAAACTCTCTTTTTCCCTTCCGATTTAATAGGTTGCAGTACCATTGGGATTTAATGAGAAATGTCCAGTTTCAATTTCCTTAATAGCCAGGCATGGAGGTGATCGCTTCCTGCTGGATACAGTGCAGACAATGTATGGGGTCCTACAGGAGCAGGCTGATATAGTTACAAAGACAAAATCATCTAAAAATGCTGTTAGTCAGGAAACATCAGCTGAGATGGCCAAAGAGAAGGTATACCAAAGATTCTTACCACTTCATTTTCTATTTGAAGGCCAATTTCACGTTATTTCTGCCACAAAACTCGGTTAATTGTTGTGTCTGTTGTAGACAATTCAAATTTCTGAAAGTGCTGAGGCAACAAAAAGGTTTTCAGTGAAAATCAAGAGAGAACCTTGGAGAGGGTGCTGTTTTAACACCAACCCTAATGTTTAATTTGGAGAACTAAGCCACAGGCATCGCTTTAAGATTTTCAAAGCATGAATGCGGATAAAATATGCGAAGGAAATAAATTGGTAGCACTCTCAGGATCCTTAATTTGCTGATTATATATTTCTTGCCATGCCTCATTAGACCAAGCAATTATGCCAACAGTAATTTTTTCTGGATTCCTGCAGTATTCTGCTTGCTTTCGTGGATTTCTGTTTGTTGTGCTTAGATTCGTAAAACTGAAACATGGGTGTAAGATATGGGTACATGAAATTTTTATTTCAGGGTAACCAAGCATTTAAAGATAGGCAGTGGCAAAGGGCAATTGTATTCTACACAGAAGCTATCAAGCTCAATGCTAAAAATGCAACATACTATAGTAATCGGGCAGCTGCATATTTGGAATTGGGAAGGTATTGCTTTATGTAAAGAATGCTCAGATATTCATCTGTGTCTGTCTCTTTTTGTAGTTTTAACTTCTCGTCTGATACAGCTTCATCCAAGCGGAGGCAGATTGTACCAATGCCATTGATCTTGATAAGAAGGTAAATCTACTCTGTCTCTTTGTGCGTGCATTTGTTAATTAATACCAAAGAAATTTATTTGAACGCTTGTATCTCTTAAGTATTTGGTCTGTGGAAGATAAAGATAAAACTAATACCATGTAACTCTAAAATCTGGGAGCTTTCCAACTCTTTTTTTTTTTGGTTTTAAATTCTCTCTCTTTTTCGGGTCCTTTTATGTTCTTGTCTTTTTCAGAGATCTTTTTTGTAATTTTTTTTGTTTAAATTCTTTCTCCTTTTTGGGTCCTTATATGTTCTTGTTGTGATCACAGATTCTTTAGTTTTTTTTGGCATTCTGTGTTCTTAACTGTGTTAATTACGCCGCTGATAGATGTTTGAAGTAGCATGTGATGTATTTTGTTGCCATAAATTTGCAGAATGTAAAAGCGTATCTAAGGAGAGGCACTGCAAGGGAAATGCTAGGTTATTATAAGGAAGCAACAGAAGGTGAGTCTGACATTTAAGCTAACAGCTTGTCCTCTTTCTGACCATGAAGCAATAGAACTTCAGGTTCTGGCTGTTGTTCTTCTCTTGGTTCTGGGGATAAATTACATGGGAGTTTTTTGTGAATCTTATTACTTGTTAGATAAGCTTTCTTTACTTGCTTTTTTCCATTCATCTTATCTCATGTGTTTACTTATTACTATCATTATATTTCTCTAACTTGCAGATTTCAGATATGCTCTAGTTCTGGAGCCAAATAACAAGAGAGCAGCCCAGTCTGCTGAGCGGTTGAGGAGGTTGTTTCCTTAAGTGAATAGGCTGCAAGCAGATTTCAAGAAGCAGGCTGAGAGGTGTCATTCTTATACACGTACGTTGGGGAATACACAAAAGTACATCTGATCAAATATTCTGGATCTCGGTATTCCTCTTGTCACACAGGATTACTCAGAGAGATGAGGAATTCTTGTTTGATTTTGTCATTAGATTTAAGCAGATGGTAGTTGCATGTACTTGAATGAGTTTTGTAAGTATGGGCGTGATCTTTGTCTACTTATATATGCATTCATTCCAAAAGTAACTCCATAGATGAGCTGGAGTTTTTGTGCTAGGCTTTTTGTAAGTCTAATCAAAATTTTTGCAGCAATTACTTCGTTCACAATGTGGTTATCAATCATAATAATTCTTTCAAAGTGTTCATGAAATGGTGAGTAAAATGAACCATTAAATTAATGGTAAAGGAGGGAGGACATATTATTGTGTTTCAGGGATCTTCATAATTCAATACAGTGCTGGTTCAACAGAATGTAGATATGGTTTATGTTTTAGTGTATGCTAAATGATACTAGTCTTTTTTCTAGTCATTAGCTGAGCTACCGGGCAATTAAAAGAAAGGTCCATTTCATAATTGCTCATGGTGTGCGGTAACTATTACTCGTTTAAGGGGTAAATTATCAAAATGGTTACTTTTACTTATTTAAATTTATATTATAGGCCAAATTGTCGAAATGGTTCTAAATTTTGTCTGCCTTTGGCCCTTCAACTTTCTAAAAGTATTATATTGTACCCCTGAATTTTTTTTTACCCTTCCATAATTTCAGCCTTTACTTATTACGCAGTAGACACCCTAGAGTACATCAGTGCAAGTCGTCAGTTGTCCTAATGTAATACCACCTATAAAGTTTCGTGTCTTTTCCTTCTTTGTTCAAGAATGTATTTAGCATTGCTTTCAAAAAAATAATGTATTTAGCATTACATACCCATAAAAAAGAATCGAGTTTAAAATCTCAAATAATTCACGATATTTCTTCACAACCTCTCAACGAAAATGTCTTGTTTGATTGGATGAATTAGAAATGATCTACTCTTGATGCTTGTCGAATAAAAATCATCACAAAACTCTGTTTCAAATACATCGTTTTTAAAAATTTAAATACATGTCTAATTACTTATTTATTCACGTAAAATTCATTAAAAAAAGATGCTTTATTATATTTTTATTAAATAAATCCAAAGAAACAACTACTATACCAGTATGCAAAAAGCATGAAGTATTTTTTGTTTTTTTTTGTTTTTGGAATTGTGGTCGACATATAATAAAGGGAAAATTGTAGAAATCTCTCCTGAGGTTTCTAACAGTAGCAGTCACCTCCTCTCTGGTTTACGAAATTGCATTGACCGCCCATAAACTTAAGGAATCTATTTAGATTCAGTTCAAACTAGAAAGAGTCCCATTAAAAAATTGTTTTAAGGAGTGAGATGAGAAATTTGTGCTAAATTTGCCCTTCATCTTGCTTGTCTAGTAGTATTAGTAAAGAAAGGACAAAAGCTATTAAGGGTCAATAAACTTCAGGAGGTATAAGTGCAAACCATTTCCAATGCACGTGTAACAGTTTAAGCATAAGGTGAAAGCAACGGCTAGTTAAACGGCTAAATGAGGTTTGAATTTACACCAACTTATAAATAAGGTCTGGTTTAACAATCCACTGCTACAACTAGTTTTGGAAGTAACACAGTTGGTTTTCTCAACTTTAGTTTGGTAGTTAGAGGTAAGTATTTGATGCGAACTCGATCCGACAAGAATCTGTTTTGAATAACCAAATCAATCAGGCAATGGAAAGATTTATCTTGATCAGATTATGGATATAAGAGATGGATTCTAACACAATCAAAGACAGCTCGAGATTATTTAGAATGGTATAAAGGCATTACAATTTAACGCGATTTTGAATTGATAAACCAAAACTTAAACAAAGGAGACACGACTCACTTTGTATCAAAGACATTCACAAAGGAACAAGAAATAGATGAAACTCTCAAACTTTAATTCTCATGATCATTTAACTTCTAAAAACGTTACAAGTTAGGTTTATTTATAACTTTACAAAATACAAAAACCTAATCTAAGATGAAAACAATACAAGTTTTCTAATTGAACTTAACAACTTTACTTGACACAATTTTCTAAACTCTAACAAGATTCAATTAACATGGTATATGGGTTAGACATACCTTAGTAGGCTTACAAGATCCAAACAGACACTAGAAAGTAGAAAATAACTTAAAATACAAAAATCGTTTAAAATTAAAACAATGAGGTCCAACATGAATCCATTGGATGGATTCTACATTTTCTCCACCGGTTACAATCCATTCCATGGTTAGCTCGGATTGGTCCACCAGATTTGTCCAACGGTTTAGGACTAGAATGTTGGTTACTTGGTGAATTTTCCTATGGTCAGTAACCAGCCGGCGGATTGAACACTTTGCTGGATTCGTCCACATTTTTGAAAGGGTAATACTAAACAATTTGTTTAAATTACTAAACATTTTTGAAAGGGTAATACTAAATAATTAGTTACTCAATATGTTTAATTAGTAATTAATTAGCTTATTTACTCCCTCAATTTGTTCACAAGCAATATTTGTTCTTTTGTAAAATTCATTCATCAGATAACCACAAATAATTGGGGGTAGCTAGGTAAATTCACACACTTTTTTTGACAACAATAGGTCTCAATTAGTTCCTAGGGGAGGTCAGTGCTATGTTGTAAATCATAGGGGAGGTGACTGCTACTCGAAGAAACCTGTGGGAAGGTTTCTGCAATTATCCCTATAATAAAACACTTCAACGTGGGAAGGAATGCAATTACAGCTAACAAAACCATCACGAGTCCGGATCCCTGTTGGGGCGTCTTTGACCCGAAAACTTGCATTTACCATTAAAACCCTGTCTAAAACCCTGCAAATATCATCTCCCACAACGCTCGCGGTGCTCCCTCTCTTAAAACTGCAAGGAGGAGGACGTTTTTGCAGAAATGTCCACATCACGCCTATTCAATCTCTTTGGAACTTCAATTTTCCGCAACCATCAAGCCACCGCCTTCCTCTCCTCAATCCCGCTTCCATGTCGACCCCTTAAACTCTTTTCTTCCCCCTCTTTACGCTCCCACCGGTGCTGTTCTTCCGCCGCGGTTCTTGAAGCCAACACTCCAGCTATTAGTTTCACTTCTGGTAGCCCAGCAGTCACTTTGACTTCAGCTTCTCATCCCTGGCGTGAATGGGTCTCATTTGTTGATAGGTTGAAGACTAAAGGCTACTTTCCTCCTGAAAATGCCCCCACGGCCGAGGATACGGCTGAGCCTGGTGCTCATGGTGTTTATACTGATATGAATTTGTTGAAGGATGCTTGTCTTAACTTTGCTCGTGACCGTTTTGATATCTTCAAGTAAGGTTGCTCACAGTTTGTACTTTTCTTTCTTTTCATTTTTTTATGTAATATGTTTGATAATGGGAACAGTTGATTTCAACTTTGTTCTTGCATCTTTTGAGCTTAATTGAGTTTTTTTTTTTCCCATTAGAAAGTTGAGATTCTGTTAATAGGAAGATTAAGGATGAAGAGTTTAGGAAGAAAATGTATTATCTTTTTAAGGAAGATCAAAATAATGTGACTTTCTTTTTTTGCGAAATCAAAAAATTCTAATCAAGCGTTTTGCTATTTTACTCGAAAAAAGAGTAGGAAATTTTTTTTTTCTTTGAAATGTTTAACATTGAAAGACATGTTTACGTATTGCAGGTCATTATCCAGGCAAGAAATTCAGACTGTTGTAGACAAGGGATGTCCTAATCTTCTTCGGAAGGCTGTGAATTCTGCCAAACGGTTGCGAGTGTATCTAGGACTTGATGAAGGAGATGTAAGTTTCCTACTCTAGATGAATAAAAATTTCTCGAAGTTAATTTACTCTAAGGGGTAAGATGACTAATGCAGAACCTGAATTGATTCATTAATTGCTGATTTTGTGGTCTGAGCTTTGAGAAGAAGTGCTTGACTGCAGGTATGCGGTGCTTGTCATCTTCGTGGATCATGTGATAGAGCGTATGTCATATTGAAGGAATCTGAAGCTGCTGCGAGGACTGTAGATATTGTGCGTATCTTGTTGGCCTATGCTTTAGATCCAATTGTTATTGATGGAAAAGTGAAGCCTCAGGACATAGAGATCATTGAAGTATCGGTAAGAAACTTGCTACATGAGTTAACTGAGTTAAGTGAGACAACTCGTGCACCGGACCTTCCAGAGCCTGTTGTCAATGTTCCTCAGCCAAAGAAGAAGTCTTTTACTTTCGTAAAGGATGTTGAAATGAAAAGAGGGGATTGGATCTGTTCCCAGTATGTCAACCTTAAATTTTCATTTTCAGCTTATCTGGAATCTCCTTTCCTTTTTCTAACTGAGAGTTTATGGCATAAAAAAAGATTATGTAATTGAATTACCTGTTTCATCTGATTGATGGCCTGAAAAGCAAAACGCTGGATCGGTTTAATATGCTGAAGAGTGAAGGCTAGTTACTGAAGCTTAGGAAAATAAGCTGTAGGATGATGAATTATGAATTCTTGGGAAGTCCATTATTGCATCAAAATCTGGATAATGATTTCTCAGGAAAGAATCACTAATGTTTTAGAGAACTTTATCAGGCAGAAAGGGAATGCTGGGCGATTTGGAGCTGTGTTCTTTTTTTAAACTTTTTAAATGTTTGCATTGTACTGTCCAACCTGTAGATTTTTATATTTTTTTAAAATTTAGGAAATTAACTTGAGAATAGCCAAGCATTGTTATTATCTATGGATTGTGGGCAAAAGGTCAATGATCTTCCTTTAAATCTTTTGTCCTCGTTGTTCCTCTGATCAAGTTGTACTTTTTATATCTTTCCAGTGTACTTACACTCCATTTCTTTGGTACAAGCAATTTCAGTCATTGGCCTAATGCACTGAATTTTTACATCGTAGATGCAATTTCATGAACTTTGCAAGAAACGTAAGCTGCCGTGAGTGTGGAGAAGATGGACCTAAAGCAATGAACTCAGATGACATTGAAATGAAAAAAGGAGACTGGATTTGTTCAGAGTAAGTTCCTAGCGGGTTATTCAGTTATTAGATGGATCTTCTGTCATAAGCATCTATTTCATTTGTGTTTCTCCATGCTTCAATTGGTTCCCTTCCCTCCTTGCACACCTGTTTCCGTCACAGTGGTGTTGAGTTTTAACCTTTTCAACAGCAAATATCCCCATGGTTTGGTATATTTAAATGTTATAACTGGTGTAGTAGCATTTCAAATGTTATACATCTTGAGTCCTAATAGCACAAACTTTTTTTTACTAATATACCAATTAGAACTTGAATGCAACAAATCTTAGCTTACAGAAAGCTTAACAAAGTAGCTTAATTGTTTTCAATAGGAAAATTAGTTCCACAACCGGCAAGCCAAAGCTGCAAAAGGCACAACAATATGCATCTTCAAAAAACTATCCCTGAGACAGCATCGCCATTAGCTTCTGTCGTGTTCAATTGAGTTTCGGATTCAATACTGAGTTTTCTATCAAAGGTCTTTTCAGAGTATATTGCTAATAAAGGCACTCACTGCTGTATACTTGTAATTAATAAAGAATCAAACTATATGCAAGCAAAAACAGTTGAAAATACCACCTAAGAATCATATCAAATAGAACCACAAAACCTAAATTACACAAGAAAACTCAATACTTCTAGAAACTCAGCAGCATATTGAACAAAATCAACTTTTAAACACCAACCAGCCCCCAAAAAAAGAGTAGAATTACACATATAATTACAGGTCAAAGATAATTTGGAGATTTCTTTAGTGGTGCCATTACAAAGTTAATTTCTTGATTTCTGAATACTTTCCAGCGAGCACAGAAATGCTTTGTTTGACCGGCAACCTCTTTGCTGTTGGCTTGAAAAACTCACCAGGCGAGTGTTTTGGTGAATGTTGAAAATGTGTTTCCCTTGTTCATTGTTGACTCTTCTGCAATCCTAACCCAAGCAATTGCATAGTTTCAGGTCTTGTAGCATTTAGATTTATTCTGAAAATCCAGAATTTAGCATTTACCAACAAGAAGTTCTTGTCCTTTAATTGTTATTTGTAAATCTGTCTATGAGAAATGAAATTCACCAACCCAAGCAGCCAGTAATTGTCCAAGAATTCCAAGCTTCTAATAGGATCCTCTTTCTTTTATATCCTTGGTAAGATAATTGTACCTCATGTAATTTAATCATACCACTGCACAAATTTACTGCAGATGCAACTTCATGAACTTTGCCAGATATGTGAAATGCGTGAAATGCAAAGCAGGTGGTCCAAAGAGGGTTCCGATGAAAGATGTCCAAATGAAAAAGGGAGACTGGAACTGTCCACAGTAAGTTTACATTTGTGGTATTCAACTATTTGTTGCCAGTAGTTTGCTATTCAAGTAGACAATTTCTTGGGTCACTATGTGCGTGCCTTTTCTGCTTTTCAATTTAAATGGCGGAGGAGATCAGATTAGAATTTTGGTTGAATCATTTGTCCAATCATGATACTTTTGTGGATAGCATTTCCATTTTGCACCATTCAAAATAAAGAGACTGTCTTTGAACAAGCATAAAGTTCATCAGAAAATTTGACTTAACCTTTAATACTTTAAGACAGATGAGTGATGAAAGTTATTTTGTCACAGTGCTAGTTCACGTTTACAGTAATTATTTACTATTTTAACTAATTGGGACCATTATCTGGTTAAAAACTTAAACCTAATGCCTGAGGTTTCAGAGCTTTGGCAGTCAGGGAGGATTAGATGCTTATGGTCTCGCCATTGTCAGCAAGGAGAGTGGATGCATACGTCAAACCAAACTTTGCCTAGTCTAATGCAGCAACCTTGCATGAAATAGTTTAGTTTTTGTTTAATCTTCCTATTAGGAATGAAAATACCAACCTCCCTAGAGTATCGTATCAAATATCGAAAAAAGTTTGTGGTTTTCTTTGTATTGAGGCTAGATTCTTGTGCTGGACTTGTAGATGCGGTTTCATGAATTTTGCCAGCAATGCTAAATGCTTGCGCTGCCATGATTCACGACCAAAGAGGCAGCTAAGACCTGGAGACTGGGAGTGCCCCTCGTAAGTCTGTCTCTACAATTGTGTGGGATGAAATTTTAGCTTATCATTGCCTAATTAAATTTGTATTTGTTTCCTTACTGCTTTCGATAGGTGTAATTTCTTAAATTTCAAAGGCAATATTGTGTGCAAGAAGTGCAACCATGAAGGCCCAAAAGATGTGGACACACAGTATGAAGAGCAGATATGGAAGAAGCCTTTTTAAGAAACTTGTTTATGGTAAGGCACTTAAGTTCACATGTGAAATCTGCTTCTTTAATGCACTAGCATGGAAGATAATTTACTCGAAAAGGGATTCTGAGGCTTCAACTGGAGGATACTCTGAAACAGGCTGACACAACCAAGTTAGGTGCTTTCTTTTGTGCTGCGGGCACATATGGTTAGATGAATTTAAGCTTGTTCTCTTTCAACTCTTCCTCGGGTATCAAAAAATCAGAGATAAAATCTCAAATCTCTTTGTAAGTATTTATTTCTTCCTTCTTTGTTCAGAACTTCCAACGCATGGCTTCTGCAAATGGAAAGTTTTCTTTGTCCTATGGCATTGTGTGCATAAAAAGTTGCAATCGCAAGTTTTTGAAGCATGGCATGAATCTTCCGTCAAATGGTTCTTTAAGAAGGAGGAGAGGGAGAGATTCTTAGATGTGCAAGATCCGAGAGCACCATTGGAGGCCATGCAAATAGATCGCAAGCCTGAAATCTGCTAGTATTTTGGATTCGAATACCTGAGCACATATTTAGTGTTATCCTTACTTTCTCAAATTTGCATAAATTTTGTTTAGAAATTGCTCCTCTAAATTTTTTTTTTTTTTTGATAGTCTAGAGGTATCCATAAAGGTAATGCAAAATGATCATTAAATTATGCCTTGAAACTAAGTTTGAGATTCAGCCAAATTGTTACACAGTTTAGGTCTTAGGTATTTTTTTAATAATAACAGGAAAGGGTGGAGTGCTTGTTGCTCAGCGATATTGGCCATATGAAATTTGCCAGACAATAAATTTACACTAACTGCAAGAAACTATGAAATCTACCTTCACTTCACCAAAACTAAAAATGATGAAAAACTGCCCGCTACAGCTTTTAATAAACCAACCGTGGTCTATTTTTCTACTAATAAGATGAAAACCTCTCAAGTCGAGCGACTAATCACAGAACTAGAAATAATCAAAAATTTCCGGATGCAAAGCTTCTTTCTTTATTAAACTATCAAACGCGAGAGTGCTAGCGTAAAGGGAAACAGATGCATGGAGTTGAATAGGAGAAACTGCGGGGCAAATTTGTTAGACAATCATACAGCAGATTACAAGTTTCCTGCATGCATGGGCTTTCTTCTTCGGCTTTGTCTCTCTGTCACTCGTTTCTTTGTCTAAACTTAAAAAAGAACCCACAGAAACATTATTATTAATATCCTCTCTCACAAAATCCTTTTGAAACAACAGAGAAGTCCTTCCTCTCTGTACGTAGTTTTCTGGTTTGTTGATTGCTTCTTCTCCAATCCATAGTACTTGAACATGGTGGGGTCCTTGACTCTATATAATTTGACCTTGGATCTTTTAGATCAGAAACCCTTTGCGGCCATACCTCAAGTGGAATCTTTCCTATCCCTTTTTTGGTGATTTTCTGAGCCGCAAGATCATAAATAACGATCCTTCCTGCTCAGCTCAGCTACATTTGTTTCACCCACGATGTCGGTGACTCTGAGGACGATTATGTACACCGGTAGCTATGCTTGCACTCCCAACCAAGAAATTTTGTTGAGCCACCTGTTGGGCAGTGGTGCAGGGCGGGAAGAGCCGGGGATAGAGCGATGGTGGGGGGAGGTTTTTAAAACACAGAACAAGGTTCCCCACCCCGTTGCCATTTGGATGTAATCATCAAATTAGTTGTACAAATTAACAAATGTAAATTTTTACAGAGTTTACACCAAAACTTATAAGAATTACACCCACCGATTTGAACTATATAAATTTCAACCCTTGAGAGTTTAAATACAACACCAAGATAAATCATTTTTTAGTAAGATCGTACGTCATATATAGACTTGGCAATTATGCCCAAAACCCAACAATTCACCCAATCCATCCACTAATTTGAGAGGTTGGGTTGGGTAAGTTGGGTATTGGATCAATTTTGAATTGGGTAATAAAAATCCACATATATTTTGGACGGTCTGGGTATTTGTGTTGGACACTCATTACCCAACTTAAGTTAAAAAAACAAATAAATAAATTACAAGGGATGGGATATGAGATACAAAAACATTTCATTGTTCATGAAACAGCATGAGACATGAGCAAAAGCAGTGCCTCCATGTATGGATACTTAACAAAATTATATGAGCTACTTAGCTATAATACTTACTTGCATGCGTCGACGTTTTATTATTTTCCTATTTTCAGAGCATTCCATAATATTTTTCGCCATTTCTTCTTTTATCATGCAATCAAATATAAGCCCATTTGGATTGTTATTTTTTGAAAATTTTATAAAAAAATATACTGTAACAATTTAATATATATATATATATATATCTAATAACAAAATAATTAAAAAATGCGTTCAATAAAACATAAAAAATTTTGTGGGAAAAAATAACAATCCAAGAAAGTTTGCAGACACCATATCATATGTGTGCCTTTCCCACTTCTTGTTGTACTAGTACGTCATTCCCATTCTCAGTTCTAGTAGACCAGCACAGAGTTGGACATTAAAGAGATATTAATTGATCAAGGCAACTACCCTTGCTTTTTCATAACACGATTCCTTCTTCATTTTACTACAAAATACACACTATACTAAATCCATTTCTGACACCACTAATCCACGCCAAAACCCCCCATCTCCTCCCATATCATACATGTGTATTTTAGTGTGTTTGTATGTGTAAAAATAAAGTATTTCAAAAGAGCTTAAAAAGTGAGTGTGCATTTGTATCTGTGAGTGTTTTAATGTGTGAAAATGTCTATCTATGTGAAAATGTGTTTATGTGTGTGAAATTTTTTTTTATGTGAAAATATATTTGAGAGAGTTTATGTATCAAAATCTATTAATTAATATATTGGGTCATATTTGGGTTATGAGTTTGAGATGTCCCAATATGACCCAATCCAAAATTAACTCAATCTAAAGTTGGGCGGGTTAGGTGTAATTCATTTAAATGAAAACTCAATATTAATCCAACCAAAACCCGCCCAACCCGTCCAATTGCTAGATATAGTCATATAAAATATCAATTTTTTTTTTCTAAAGATTGATCAATTACAAGTTGGGCGATCACATCCCATTAGGGCAACAAGCTCAACACAACAAAAAACGCGAGGCTAGCCTATTAGTAAGTTATTTTAGACTTCATTAACATAAAAGAGATGCCTTTTAGACTTAATAACTTGTCCATCTTTACTGGTTCCAAAATGTTCAAAAATTTCATGTTTTATATCAAAAACAAAACATGACTGTGTGCAAGTAAAATAAGTACTCCCAAGCAAACAGAACAGGAAACAGCTTTATTAGCTTACTCGAAAGCAGCCCGTAAAAACTTATTCTTGCAGCTTTGTAGAAACTAGAAAGCGTTTTCCTATTCTTGCTCGTCAGAGACCAGCTGCACAAACTTATTTGCACTCGTTTCTTCAACGATTTTGTCAATTTATTACTAATAGCTGGGAGATGCTTTTAACCAATTGTAATTTGTTGGTTACACTGGGCTTACATATAATTCAGGTTAGGCCCTTCTGTTTGATTATATCATAGAGAGGTTTGTTACAGTTGAAATACTTTCTCTTATAAGTAAGTGTAGGGGGTAAATTTCTAATCAGCCAAATTTTAAAGGGTCCTTCTGCAATTGACGTTGGGTACATTTATTGAGTGACCGTATGAACTGATTCTGTAAGTTGCGAGTTGTAGTAGTTTGAACTTTGAAGAGACAGAGAAATATGGGAAGAAGAGACGACTACAGATTTCTCCAATTAATTGATGCCATAGCTTCAATTAATCAGAAAGTTAATCTCATTGGAGTAGTTATCGAAACCAGCATCCCCAAACAATCTAAGGGCACTGGTGAAAACTTTCTCCCTTTTTTTTTTTGGTTTAGTTTGAGAAAAATCTTTTTTTTTTTTGTTGTGATTGCTCTTTTTTTTTTTTCCCTTTTGCAGATTGTTTTTGCACAATTAGAATCGTGGATGAGTCCAAGCCAAGTCCCGGAATTGCAATTAACTTTTTCGCGGAAAATATGGAGAAGCTTCCCCAGGTTATGGCTGCTGGGGACATAATTCAGCTATCCCACGTTGTGGTATATTATTTTTTGTTTCACTGCTATTTATTTTGCTTAATTAACTTCATTTAATTCAAATATTCAATGTAGTTAAAAGAGCCCATTTTGTTAATTATCGCCTTTTACGCGTCAATAGGATGAAGCGTTTTGTTTTTGAATTATTTCAGTCTTGGTTAGAATATATATATATATATATATATATATTTATATATATATTTATATATTTATATATTTATATATAATTTTTTTTAAGAGTTAATTGGTAAATTGGACGTGTATGCCGAGGTACCAGTTTCGTGGTGGATGCTAAAATGTGCTGCTTCTCCTACGAGTCTAGCTTCTTTTTTTTTTTGGCATTTCTACAGGTGAATTAGCTGATATTTTTGCTGCTGGTTAGTAAGTATAGATGATCAGGGATTGGTTCATAGTTTGATGCGGTAAGATGAAGGAGATGCATAATTTTTCATGAACATCCTAGTAGTGTATTTTCATTTTTTGATTGTTGGGATATCTTTCATTTCAATTTGTCATTGTTGCTAATCCACTGGCTTTTTAGTTTATAAGTATCACTGGAAAACTGTGTGACTACGCTCTTGCACAACAATGAGATATGACGATGATGATAGGAATGATTAGTTTGTTTCCATTTCCTTTTTCCACTCTTCGTTTGAATGGCCTTTTCTTTTCCTTTGTTTTGTGGATGTTTAGTCCAATTCCTATTACTACAATTAGACCATACCTTGCAGATGAAAATGCATGGTTCAGAGGTTTATGCTGTTTTCAACAAGAAGTTCTCTTCATTTGCTTTGTTTGAAGGAAAACATGGGAGAAGCTTCGTTCCATATCAATTTTCTGCTACATATCATGCTAGAGAACAAGACAAGAAATTCATATTGGAATTACGTAAGTGGTTGATCGAGCACCCAAATGAAACAGGTACTCTCTTCAATTCCTTCATGCTAAATCCTGTCTTGATCTTGGGAGGCTGTGTGTTTACTCTGCTGGTCCTTTTGAGAACCTGGTCTAATTAGAAATGGAAAGTACAAATGCCTAGGTTGAACTTGAGTTTTTGGCCCATTTATGAACCTCCACGAAGGTTTGCTAGGAACGTTAATTGAACACAGAGTTCTCAAGTCTTGGATCTGTGGTAATACAAGTTGCCTTGACACTTCAAAAAGGTTGTGTAGTTGACTGCATTCTATCTGTTATACTTTTCTTTGATCTAGATCTTTAATCGTTCCTTGTGTTAAACTGAAAGTTTTATGTTTTCAAGGCATTAGATCTTGGCTCATCTCAATCTTGCACTGACACTTCAAAAAGGTTGTGTAGTTCACTGCATTCTATGTGTTATACTTTTCTTTCTTTCATATTGTTAACCTGAAAGTTTTGTGTTTAAAGGCATTAGATCATGGCTCATCTCAATTTTATCACCTTGTAGAAAATTGAGATTTCCTGCTATCTCAATTTAATAAATTTTGGTTAAAAGTAAGTGCTAGCAGTACTGATGTACTTCAATGTTGATCAATCACCTGATAGGATCCCAGGATTTACCTTCATTAAAGGAGATCAGAGAAGGAGAGCACTTTAATTTGGCTTGCAAGGTACTTTAACAATACTTTGGCACAGTCATTTTCAATTAGTACTGAGTAAGGGGAACATTTATAGTTTTTTGATAGTTTCTTTGCTTATTTTCGCATTTGAAGATATTGCTTATTCTTTGGCTCATTAATCATCTTCTTATACAAGATTCTTCATCTATGTGAAGTCAAAAAAGATGAGTGGATCCTATTTGTTTGGGATGGGACTGACACTCCACCTGCCCTCGTTGAACCAAAGTGAGTTGTCTTTTTCCTTTTTAAACTCCATTTCTATGATACATTTCCTTATTGTATTCTGTTCATCAGAGCTAAGTGCTTATTCTTGGCATATTTATCTGCTTTATTGGTTTTAGGCACGCATTGGTCTATTAGAGCAGCTCTTTGACTTCCCATGTGTGTTTCACTTGTATATATTATTAAGCTGCATATGGAAGAGAGCAACCATTTTAACTGATCAGTAGGGAGACATATTTTTTCTCTCTTTTCACTTAAAGCTTGTTTCTCCTTCTTGATATAATAGCTTTTTTATTTTTTCTTTTGATGAAGTATTGCGTCTCATGTCTTTTTTATTTGATCATACAGTGTGGTCCACTATTAATTTTCCTGTATGGCTTTCTGAACTTGATCTTTTCATTCCCTTCGGTTTTCCATAATTGGTCAGAAACTGGCTATTACAGCCATTTGTTCATAGTCATATTTTGATTTTGCAGTTATAGAATACTTTACTTAGTGGTTACTAAGTAATTTGACTGTTGAACTTCCGCCAATTCTGATTGAGAATACTGATATAGTGCTCCAGTCATTTGATTATGTTCATTTATTCTTTTGAGACATGTTTGCAATTTTGCTTCAAAGATTTTGTATCCTTTCCAAATAATTTTCATTCCATGTTACAGGTTTGAGGATGAAAAGGAAGATCCACTTCCCTTACAACTGGAACCATTTCCTTTACCAAGAGATGTCCTCTGTACCTTTCCGGCTGTTGGCACTGTCTTAAGGGTGATTATCAGGCGAGGCAATGAGAAGCTTGATCTGAATGTCCTTAAATCTGGTAGATGGGTAAAATTTGTTAATTTGAAGTGTGAATCTCATGCTGCACTGTGGTGTGCTTTTATAATGCCCTTCACCAAGATTTGCTATTTGCCTGATGATGATGACATTATCTTACAGCGCCAAAGGTTTGTATCTGATATAGATAGTTTGCTTCCCATGTTGTAAGCAATTCTGGTACAAAATATTAACCACTCATTTGTCTGTTTTAGGAGCTACGATGAACGAATCTCATCAAAATGGGGAAGGATGCCGCTCTCGTGCTTTCCTTGGCCTTCTGATCTTACAGGTCTGATATCCAATTTATTTTCTTGGTTTTATCCTAATGTGGTGACACCAACCTTCTGTTATTCATATTTCTCATTTTCTGAACATTCAGAAACTGATCATCCAGATGTGCCTTTCGTGACTTTGATGCATGTCCTTACCAATCCAGAGGTATCTCCATTTTTGCATTGTTAAGATCTGTATAAAAGGAAATGCTAATGGTAGATCTATTATCATTTCTCATTTTGTTCTTGATTTGACATCTCATTTGTCTCGGTGAGTTTTTTGTGTACTAGGTGTTTCAGTGGTGCTCTCTTAGATTTTTCTGGAATACAAGTCCAATGCAATAGTAATTACATTTTCTGAGCTCTGGAGCTGTGTACAACTCTGTCCCTCCAAAATCAACGAGCTTGAATCTTTGCAGGTGACATCTAAATTCAGGTGTGTAGTTCGGGTTGTAGCAGTGTTTCCATGGAGGGTTGAGGACTTCTATTCTCCTGTTGGAGCTTATAGGATCAGATTGACGCTAGAGGATGCAACTGCTCGAATCCATGCTTTTCTTTATGCAGATGATGCGGTAAACATGATAATTTAGCACATAATCTTTTTGTTAATCCTTTACCCATTAGAGACGTGCTCAATTATGGCTTTCCTTGTTAACAGGTAAACTTTTTTGGTGGTTATTACCCTGTTGATGTGATGACAAGGAAGCGAAATACATTACTGGGCATTCCAGAGAGTGACGAAGGAAGAGAAATGAAAGATGGTTTTAGAAATCCATCCTGGATGCAATGTTGCCTGAAATCTTATTACGTAGATAAGGGTGACCCTTGGGGAAGTAGGAATTATCGCATGTTTGCCACACGGCTGTTGAATTAGGCAGATAGCCGGCGTGTTTTTTGTTTTTTTTTTCACTTAGGAGTATCCTAGCCTTGTGGCCAGACTAATCCCCTAAGGTCGTGTAGAGTTTCGTCCCAAGGATACACAGCAAATAGCACATGAGAGTCGATCACGGAATCTGCTGATAATGACTAGACTACGGAACCCCGCTGGTGTCTCTTTTGTTCGGTGCATCGCTTTTTAACTTTTCTCTTTCGAGTTCTTTTTGTAGTAATGTTCAAAGTGTAATATTACTAAATCTCGTGATTATGTAAATTAGAGATGTACAACGTCTAAGAATGGGCTACATGTATATAAGCACGTGCCCTTGGGCCTAGGAGTCGTTCTAAACTTACATTCTTACCATATTTAGTTACCTACAAGTTGAAAATTCAAACGAGGATGCTCCAATGAAAAAAAAAAGAAAAGAAAATTACAAACCAGGACTGGCAGCGGTTCTTAAGGGGATTCAAAGGGACGATATCTACTTCTAAGGAAGCCTCAAGCCTTAATCTAGCGACTCTAATGGTTAACGTGAAACTTCAGAAATGAGAAGTTCTGTGTTCAAATTCTCTTTGCTCTTTCATACTTTTTAAATTTCATCTCCTCCTCTGCTTCTTAAATTTCACATTTCCTTGCTTAAAAATAAAACAATTCAAAAGGGATAATATCTAAACGTTTAGTTTCATATACTACCATCCTTGTTTTCTTTAATCATCTCCGTGCTCATTTAGAACAACTTGGAGGAGAGATAAGTGCCTTCCCTTGGGTTTTCATGGGGTAAAACCTATCGAGGAAGAAGGTCTGACAGTAAGAGCTGCGCTTATGATGGTCGAAGATGCAGGATGGACTAAGATAGAAGTCCAATCAAACTGTAAATCTGTGGTGGACCAAATCAATGCAAGCAATGTTCAAGACATTAGCATTGCAACAGTCCTAGAGAATATTGAGGAGATGAAGGAAGAATTTGAACAGTGTAACTTTTCTTTTGTGTATAGATCAGGAAATATGTGTAGCCATATACTAGTTCAATATGCAATCAAACTAATACATGACATAGAATGGGATAATACGTTCCCAATATAGCTAATGGATATAGTAAGGAAAGATATGAATGCAGTTGCCCTTTTTTATAATTAACTCTTATATTATCGAGTGTTAATATATAAAAGTACCATTTCTGTTCGTTATTAAAAAAAAATGAAACAACTTCATTGATGCCTTAATTGACGCGGCCTAAAATATTTTGAACCGGGGTTTTCTATCATATCTCTGGTCCGAGAGCATCTTGTTTTTACCACGGTTTATTTTCCTTTGTCATCAATAAATGTGTCGAGAAAATTTTACTTGAATCTTGATTTGTTTTTAACCACAACAACCAGTGCTCAGAATCTCAAAATCTTTACTGGCTCCTCCGTAGCTTGTCTTTACCACAATTTATCTTCCTTCACTAATAGTAATAAACATTTTGAGCACAGGTTTTTCTGATCCACGCATATTTGTCTTTACCACGGTTTATTTTCCTTCGGCAACCAAGTCTAATTTTGCCAACATTAGCAGGTTCCTCAAATGTCTGCAAAAGTCCGCATGCTGCACGGGAATCGGGAAGAATATAAAAGTATATCAACAGAAGAAGAATCTTCATGAAGCTAAAATTTTCACCATAAAATGTTTCAGGACTTTCTTACAAAGCTTTGGCCTCTCGAATATGAATGAATTTCATAAAATGTAACGTAATAAACTTGAACGACAGATTTTCCACTCAAAAAATCTACAACTTGCAAAATCTGTTGGTACTTACAAGCTTGACATGACTGGCAAATGGTATTCCTTCTTACCCTACCTTGTCTAATGCCCCTCAGTTATCTTTGGTCAAACTAAGAAAAATGAAAATTCTATACAACATCCGACATGTATCTCACCTCGTCATGTAGTGTCAATCTTATCCTCCGTATGTTCAACGACCCGCAAGCACAGCTTGCTCAAAAGGTTGCTGAGGAGCCATCCCTCCACCTGCAACAACAGCATGTCTGCGCTGTCGCTCCCTAAGGTAGAGGACGGTTAGGAGGCATGCAAAAAGAGTTAAAATAGTTGCATTTCCTTCCTCCATAATCATATCCTCGACCCACGCTTCCACCTTTGGGTACAATTCGGGCAGTGAATCAATGAACTCAACCTGGAACATAAAGGCAAGTAGCAGTCAAACTTAGAAACACAAAACAAGAATTAGGAGTTGAGAGACTATCAAGAGAGAAGATAATATTACCATGAAACTGTTAGCATAGTTCTTTCGCAACCACAAGCTTGCTAGGGCTAGAGTCACAGGCAACTTTGCAGCAGGATCAATTTCCAATGCTTGATCATAATATCGCTTGGCAAGGTGAAGATCAAACGGCAGTCCTTGGCCATGCTCATGCATATAACCCAGGTTGAACATAGCTTGAGCATTTGACTGCGACTTGGCATGCATATAAGCCTCCGCTGCACGATCATAATCTCGCTCTGTCCCCTGTAAAAGAAAAACGAGAAAACTTTTGAGGTCTGTATAATCTATTCAAGTGCAAAAGCTACTTTCCTCCTTTCCACTTACCCCCCCCCCCCTTCTTTTTCTCCCACCAAATAAAACCGAAATCTATCTCATTTCTCTCAACTATAATACACGAAGCCATAAACCTAGTCTAGAGAATAAAAATCAGAATATATATTGGACTTTGGGAGGACAGAATCTAGGACCAAAACTAGCCATCCTGCCAGCTGGATGTAATAAACCTACCCGGCCATAATAATATGCATCCCCTATCAGCAAAGCAGCATGCTCATTGCCCTGCTCAGAAGCTTGCCACCACAAAGCATGAGATCTTAGATGCCTCTCTGATTCTCTGCAGATTCCAGATTCTCCCAGACACAGGCTATTTTCACCATATTTGTCAAGAATCCAAGCAGCATTACTTTGTGCTACCTCATACCCTAACTCTGCCATCCTTGAATATAAGAGGAATGCCTTGCCTACATCACCTTTTAGATACGATTCTAGTGCCCATCTGGACATGGAACTCCAAGGTCCACGTTCTGCAACTAACTTGTATAGAGCTGTTGCCTAGAAACAGGCGGACCAAAATATAACCAGATGAGATTTTTAATCTTTTAGATACTAAATAGTCTATTCAGAGTTAAAAGGCAATACAGTAAGAAAAATAAAGCATATTACCAGTTATAACTTCGCTCTATGTAGCCCAATAATCCACAGATGATCAAAATTATCTCATACCAATTAAGCAACAATAGGTGGAATTTCTACATGATCTAAGTTTATAGATGATAGTTGACGCAATGGCAGAGTGAAAGGATACTAGGAGTAGGCTAAATAGAATAGCACTGTCAAAAAATTCACTTATGAACAAGCACAAACACCAGTTTACTAGTAACGAACTTGAAATATCATCTACAGAAAAATGAACCAAAAGCACAGTTATATACAATGCAGGCCACTATATCACTTTGGCAAATGAACAAGGATTTCATTCATAAACAGCTAATATATAGTATATTTTTTAAAGGACATTAAGAAATGTATAGGACAATGGATGATTTACCATGGGGAGATTTTTCTTAAGGCCAACACCAGTTTGGAACATCTTTGCCAATTGGTAAAATGCCTTTGGTTGACCTGCATTGGCAGCCGGTATAAAGTAGTTACATGCTTGCCGCAAATCCCTCTTCACACCAATGCCCTTTAGGTACACGACGCCAAGGTTGTAAAACCCACCAGCTTCCTCATTCTCAGCAGCCTTCTCAAAGTATTCTTTAGCCTGTGACAAAGAAAGAAGTTTTCAGCTCATGTTAGGCAGCAAAGATGAACCTACAGGACCCATACACGAGTTTTAGATGATGTGACTTAGAGATGATCATCAATTACAATAAAAGTTCAAAAACTCTGAGAACTTGCCAAAAACAGTATGCCATCATCAGCTTGAAACCTAAGACATGAGAAAACAATGTAAAGTTCCCAGCCATACTCTTGATGCCATCCTCACAGAGCAAAAGCATGTTCTCATGCTTGGCTCTTATACCTATGTACTCAAACTAAAATTTTAACTCCTAAAGAGCTAAAATAGGTAGCTAGGTTATATAAAGACCAATCTAACTTGTCTGTCAGAACAAGGAGCAGAAAAGGGGGTGGGGGAAGGAGAGGAAATAGCATCAACTTTTACCTTTGTATAGTTCTTCTTCTCCACTCCATACCCCTTAACATATAAATAGCCCATTCCATTGTATGCTGAATAAAGCTGTTGCTTGGAAGCAAGTGTTAACCATTCCAGTGCTTTAGTGTAGTTCCTTTCAACTCCAGCACCTCTTGCATATATCTCCCCAAGTAGTTCCATTGATCTCGGCTCACCCTTCTCCACAGCCTTCAAGAACCATGCTAATGCCTTTGCATGATCACGTCTGACTCCCCTCAATCCAAAGTAATAAAATATTCCAATTTTGTACATAGCACCAGCATTTCCTTTCTGTGCCTGGTACTCCAAAATCTGGAAGTCCTCATCCTCCTCTCCTCGAGACTTTCTCAGTGCCTCCTTATTTTCCTCAGCTCCACTATGAATCCTAACCAGTTCGATGACAGGTGAATCCTTTGAAATCAGGAAACTATTTACAGCAATTTCCGCCAGTTCAGCATAGAGTTGAACTGCTTTCTCATGCATCTGTAATCAAAGACATGATGATCACATTTTCAGGGATTGGCCAGGCAGAAGCATTTAACAAAAGCTTACATTAACCGAGATTAAATACAACAGCTCAACTCCGTTCACTGACAGTAACTTGTTAAACCTAGTGCTGCATTTAGTAAAAGATAGGACTGAGAGAAGAAAGCATTGAACAGGGCATTATAAAAACTCCTATATTCTGATTATTTGAGTTACTACTACATCATCAAATGTTCCCCGATATTCAGTTCTATAAACAGCAAAATTTCCACTATCCCTACTTGAAAATAACTTCAAAACATCAAATTTCAAGCAAGTCTTTATTTAATTATTTATCTTTAGTTGCCACTAAGCTACTTCAAGTATAAATCATAAATACCCCAAAAAGATGACAAATTTATATAAATCGAGCTAAAAAGCTTACATCTTGGCGGTAATAAGTATAAGCAAGAGCCATCTTGGACTGCATATTCCCACCCTCAGCAGCAAAATAATGATGTAAAAAGGCCTTAGCTTTACTCCTCTCTCTCATAATCCCCATTCCATACAAAAACCCCATCACCGACTGCGAGTGCGAGTGGCCCGCCGCCGCAGCCGTCTCGATCTCCATCGCTGCCTCCGCCATACCCCTCTCATCGCCTCTTCTCGCCGCCGTCACCATCTTCTTCACCCCTAAATAATAAATTAAATCAAAATTTTCGCCATTATTATTTTCTACATCTTCATCTGGGGAGGAGGAGGAGGAATTAAAGTACGGAGAATTGTTGGTGCTGGGCTCAAATATGGGGCTCCATGAGCCCGGGTCGAGCTCGTAATCGGGTTTGGCATCGGAATCGATGAAGTCGTCGAAGTCGGAGTCGGTTGGGTCGGAATCAGAGACTCCGTCGGTAACCGGGTCTTTGATGTTGAGGTCGTCTTGGGAAAGGACAAGGACAAATGGACGGGCGATTGTAGAGGTTGGAAAGAGCCCCAGAAGCAGGAGAACGTAGCTCAATCGGATGAATTTTCTTTTCTGATTTCGGTTTCTCATGGTCTGATCACTGGAATTACTATCGAGTTTCGTTCTTTCTCCGTCGAATTTTGTTTTGGCAGAGGGAAGAGGAGAAATTTGGGATTTTGTAATTATATGTTTGCTATGCCACGTCAAGGTTGCTGGACTCTACCAGTCAGAGACTGCCAAGTAATCCAAGAGAAAACTTTTTCTTTTCCGCATTACTACGCATTACTTTGTCGCTTGGGTATTTAACTTTTTATTAAATCTCATGGCCACATGGTCAAGGATCAAAGCTTTTTCAATATCTTTTTTATGTATGTTTTTTTTTTCTCATACTACTATTTTCTTTGCAATACTAGAATTTTGCTCTTTCAATTCAATAACACTTCAAAATTGATTTGTCCACTAATCAAATTAAGTTCAATTAAAGATTTTGTATGAGTTAAGTTTTAAACTCTACTCGTGTTTGAGTTATTAAAGATTTTGTATGAGTTAAGTTTTAAACTCTACTCGTGTTTGAGTTGATAAGTTTGAAAAACAAAAAATCCCTTGTAATCTATTCACGACTACGTTAATATGCATAAATGATTGTTTAAGGTCGACTTTAATAATAACTAGAGCCAATACGCCAAATTTATATATATATATAGTACTAAATGTTTCAGTGTTGAGATTGTGTTCATCAAAATTATCAACTCATGTTTGAACTCTTCAATATTTCAAGGGGAAGTATGTTAGGCATTAGAAATCACAAGAAGGGCAGGAGAGAAATTAATAGGAATGTAAAACAACTATTTGTACGGCAAAATGGCCTAATAGTTAACCTTTTTTACTTCTATAGAAACCATTAATAGAATTAGCATGGAGAAAAATATCAAAGATTACATATGCGAAAACTTTGAGAGTTACAAACATGGATAAACCATTAATAGTATTCTAAATTAATCTGTTAAATAGAACTTTCATATGATCAAGTTAAATTTTAAAAAACTCATAAATTGTTTACGTAAATGGTTGATAGATTTATAATTATCACAATTATCACAATTTTGGACTTGAATATACAATCGCCAAATATCTAGTAAATTTAAAAGTAATTCTTTAGTAACAATCTATCGTAAGCATTTATCGAGTTGATTGTATATATAAACCTGTAAAATAACTTTTTATTTTGAAGGTAGTAATTTTTACTAGATTTGGGGAATCTATATGAATGCGATTGAATCCTTGAGATGCAGCATACTTAGACATATCATCGCCACTAGCAATCAATCTGCCTTCAAAGCAACCCTCATATGGGGCGCTGAAAAATGTTGAAGGTGTTCAACTTCTTAACATCCTTGGTTGCGTGGCTACTAAATAGTCCATAGTCGTTAGATTTTTTGACGTTTCTACCAAACACATTTGTTCATGCTATTCATTTTAGTTATTTCATCATATTCACGTTACTCGAAGAAGTATACATTCCCCATAGCAAAAGTAGGCTTATTTTATTATTTGCTTTCCGTTTAAAGAAAACTAGTGGGATGGCGCAGGAGAGCTAATATTTCCCGTGTTAAATTGCACAATTTTTAGTTATTGTGTATTTGTTGTAGTGTAGAGAATTATATGATTAATATAAATTATGTGGTGTAGGTTAAGCGATTACAAATGTGGGAAAAAGTATAGTTGAAATTACAAAGCGGGTTAATCACATTTTATCCCATTAAAGAATATCCCATTTCTCAGTTTGCCCCCTAACCTTTAATTTTGTTCATTTAACCCCCTTTAGGACAAAATTGCCCTTGCATTATTTTGACTTTTCATTTACCTTTTTTTTCTTTTATTTCTTTTTCTCTTTCTTCTTTATTTAATTCTTCTTCTTTCCCACAAAAATCTTCACCTTAATTATTGAAATTAGAAAAGAAGAATTGCAGAGATCTATCTTCTCCTTAAATGATTAAAAAATATTCAAATCACTTTCCTAAAATACAATTTTTTTAGCCTTTCAATTCTTTTAATTTTGGATTTTTCTCTTTCCTTTCTAGTTTCTCATTTTATTCCCAAGAAAATATCTTAAGATGAAATTGTGACCTGATTAATAATCATCAATTGAAATTTGTGACACGTGGCATCATACAAAAAATTAAAATTAGTTTTTGATGCCTTTTAAACCTTCACCCAAAAATATGCAATTACAAACTAAAAAAAAAAATTTCGTTGAAATGGAATTTCTATTGGGAAAGATGAAAGAGAGAAGAAAGAGAAAAAGAAATAAAAGAAAGGGAAACCATTTCATCTTATAATATTTTCTTGAAAATAAAATGAGAAACTAGAAAGGAAAGAGAAAAACCCAAAATTAAAAGAATTGAAAGGCTAAAAAAATTGTATTTTAGAAAAGTGATTTGAATTTTTTTTAATCATTTAAGGAGAAGATAGATCGCTGCAATTTCTCTTTTTTAATTTCAATCATTAAGGTGAAGATTTTTGTGGAAAAGAGGAAGAATTAAATAAAGAAGAAAGAGAAAAAGAAATAAAAGAAAGGAAAACAAGGTAAATGAAAAGTCAAAATAATGCAAGGGCAATTTTGTCCTAAAGGGGGTTAAGTGAGCAAAATTGAAGGTTAGGGGGTAAACTGAGAAATGAGATATTTTTTAAAGGGATAAAATGTGATTAACCCTTACAAAGCGAAGGAAGTGTTGTTACATTTATGGAAGTCACTCCACAAGATAGTTACATGCATAGTTGGACTGATAGTTACATGAAAGTAGAACAAAAAGATGGTTACAAAGTGAAGGAAGTGCAGTTACATGGATGGAAGTCAGTCCATAAGATATTACATGCATAGTTGGGTTGATAGTTACATGATAGTGGAACAAAAGTGCATCCGGAATTGATTTCATTAGAGTAGCAATGTTAAATAATTGCGTTGAGTTTGTGAACAATGTTATTCAGTGGATTTCATTGGACTATGTTTATTAGAGTAACAATGTTAAATAACTGCGTTGAGTTTGTGAACATTTTAATTGTATTTAGATTATATTGGATACACTTGAAAAAGTTCATCGTCAAATATCTGAAGTGCATATTTGTTCAATCCTAAGTGAGTAAATACGATAGTATAATCTACTTTAATTAAATGAAATTTTGTCAACTTTTTCCATCCATTTGTTAAATAATTTTCCTCAACTTTTATGTCCCAAGTCTTTTGTTGACAATAGAGCACAATTATGCTATCTTTATTTGGTAGAATATGGAAGGCATCATCTGGATGTAATTCCTGTTATAAAAAGATGTGAAATTTTTGTAAGAATATTGATACACTGATATGCTAAATATTTTGTGTAATATGAAAATTACCAAGTAGTCTATATCATATCGTTGTATTGTCACATAGAATTGAAACTTTGTTAGTAGTCCTTCTATTGGGCAGAATGTTCCTACAGTTTTTTTGGAGGGTTAATCGCACTTTATCCCTTTTAAGTATAGGTCATTTCTCACTTTACCCCACAATGTTTGTTTTTTCTCAGTTTACTCCCTCCGTCAGCAATTGCCCGTTAAAAACTTCAAGATGCCAAAATTGCCAATGGGTAGTTAATAGGGCTCCGTAGTTATTGCAAATTGATTTTGGGTTGGATGTGTGCATTTTTCATGAGCAGTTCAAGGTGGTGCATGGTTTTCTAATTGATAATATTTCTGTTGAATTGTCACTTTCATAGTCTCTTAAGTATTTCCTTCCTCCAGCACCTAGTTACCCTCACTTTTTCAATTTCATCAGTTGAACACTTAAAAAGTTGCTTAGCACTTTTTCCTCTTTAAAAGAGATTTTTTTCTTCCAAAGATTCAGACTATCACTTTTTGAATAAACATAAAAAGTTTGATTTCAAAGAACAGTAGAGTGAATTAGCTATCTGACATACTGTGAACTTTAACTAATCCTCAGGCTAACATGACAGTTCAAAGCCTTCAGAAACAGTTTGGATTATTCTAACAGACCCACGAGTACTAATCCAACAGAGCAAAGCAGAATATGAGCAAAAAAGTTACAGAGGAGGAAATTATCCATTAGGAAATCACAGATGTTTCAAACTAACCTAAGCATCAGCCAGTAAACGTGCAAGAAGCTTTCTCACCAACATAAAATTCAAAAAATTATATGCTTCTTCTTTTTCCTCCTCTGCTTCTTCTGCTAAGAAGCGCAAATTCAAATTCCACTCCAATAGTAAGGCCTACGTCCAGTACCACACCCTCGTCGCCGAGGAGGGCTCCAATGTCCCTCTCCGCGAGTACATCAATGCCGAATTCCTCAACCCTGTGCCTCCTCCTGACCCTCTTTCTTCTGAACCCTATTTCGACCTAGGCGACGTCGTCGCCTGCCTACTATAGGGACGGCTGGTGGACTGGTGTCGTCACCGCTCTTCTTCTTCAGCACCACGACGCCGACCGCCACTACCACCACAAGCAGGCCCAATCCCCCTTTCTTCTGAGGTTCGTCGTCACCTTTCACAATCCACCCAACGAACTTCACTTTCCTCCTTCCCAATTGAGATTTCACCACCGATGGGTCAATTGCACCTGGGTCCGACCCGCCAAGCAGGTGCCGTTTCTATTTCTGGTGTCGTTTCATGTTCTTTAATGGAGGTTTTGGAGGTTTTGCTAGGAATACAGAAGAAGAAAGAGGCTGATAGAGGGGAGAGAGACTTGACCGACAATGACAAAAAGGAAGGAAACCTTTTGTCTTCTGGTTTCCCTTTTCTTGTCCCATGTGCCCGATGGAGGGAAATTTCCTCCTCCATTGTTCCAGGGCAATTTTGAAAATTTGTTTTTATCCGTTTCATAAACCTTTGATATATGGGTATTTTGGGTTGTTCATTATTTTCTTAAGGGTATTACTGTCTTTTCATTATTCTGTTAATCTCCGTTAGAGTTGACTGTTAGTATTTGGGATAAACTGAAGAAAAACAAACGTTGGGAGGTAAAGTGAGAAATGACCCATACTTAAAGGGGATAAAGTGCGATTAACCCTTTTTTGGATAACAATTAGGTTGATAAATTGTGTTTAATTAGAGAGTAATAATTTTGTTCCATACCGTATTCGTTTGGCCATAGTCTTGGGCTGGTAAAATGTTCCATTCATAGAAAGTTGAGCAACGATTTGGAGCAAATATCTGCACTCGAAAGGCCATTACACCTACGTGAAAAAATTGGATCATGAAATTTTCTTGTATTTGGTGATCGCATAGAAATTCTTTCCAGCTAGAATTTGCGGGACTTTCATGTAATCTAATAAACCAAAATTTGTTTCCATTTTTTAGTATTGCTGTTCTTCGCATATGGCATCCTATATGCGGCAAAAATTTGGCTGGTATGGCCTGAAAATTAGTAGCAAAAGTAAGAAAAAATTAAAGTGGATTTTGATTTGCAATATATTTTGTTGAAAATATTGATCTTACCATATGCTCTGTTTCTTCTCTACTAAAGTACATCAAAAAGTTTTTGATTGGTGATGTTGTATGGTAGGCAAAAATAAGTGAATAATATTTAGTGATTTAGTTGTTGATAGAATTTATATAGATGGGGTTTATAATGGTGGCAATTTGTGTATCTGACTCGTCGCTTATTTGCACAAAGAATTTTGGATACCGTTGCAGTAAAAATCTAGTTGGATATACTGACAAAAAATGTTGAGCTCAGCACTTGAGTAATTTGCCGGATATCTTACTGCCATTTTCATTGGTGCAACATGTAGCAGTAGTAAAAGATGCATATAAAAGATCCAAAAGACCAAAGCGCCCCTCAAAGTCACAAAAATCACAGCATAACCGCTTGACCAACTGTTCATTCTCCAACTCTCTCTTTTATATATTTAGATTTCTAATGTAACTTGTAATTAAAGTCATTATTTCATTCTCGAATGTTGGTGAATTATATGACTCCGTTCTTAAAGTTTAAGCTGGACATGCTTGTTTCTTTGATGATTAATTTTGAATTTTCAAAATCTATTCATTAGTGTTTCAAATTCTTTCACTTCTAACTTCAATTATACGTAGGTCTAGCAGTATGAGTAGCATTTCTAATGGAAAGAGTGATGCATATGATAGTTGTTACTACTAAATTTTGTTGCATTTGAATAAAACTCTTACACAATAGTTCCTAAGTTTGTAAAACTATTATCCATCCCAATATATGAATTTTAGAGATGAATTAGCAAGTTAAAGTATCAAAGGAGAAAAGTGTATGAACAAAAAAGGAAATATTGAAATGAAAATATTTTCTCCCCATTTAATTGGTTTTGTTAACCTCACTTTTTCTCCTAGTAGCTGAATATGTTACCAAAAAGAAAAGGTTAAATTGGAGGAGGTAGGTGAAATACTGAAATACTTAGAAGTTCAAGGTGCTAAGTGATATTGACAAAAACGGAAACAGCTAATTAAAAGTTTTGTAAATCAATCAATCTGCACCCCAATTGTTATTCTAGTATTAGTTTTTTTTTTTTTTTTTTTTGAAAACTGTTGTCAGAGGTTACTAATTAACACCAATGATAAGCTTTGAGAAAGTAAAAATTTACCAAGCTCCAACAACTTAAGCAGTGCGAGCGTTGAACTCGATCAGAACGGGCGATTCGTTTACTGGAAGCCCCCGAGCCAAAAACAACAGAAAAAACCGACCAACTGTCGCGGCCCTAATTCCTCGTAATTCCCGAAGGTAGTTAGAAGCAAAGCGCCAGCTGCCCGGCGAAGAGGGTCGTCGAGTTCGAGCAGAAGTTGTTGGCGGTGGCGGCTGGTGGCGATGTCAATTGAGATTAAACTTTCCCGATCAAATCGCATCTACCGGCCCAATGTATGCAATAAACAGTGTCACTCACAACTGGAAAAAAATCTCTTTTTGAATGCCCATTTAATCAACAAATTTATTTTTCTTTTTGAGTTGAACTCTATTATGACTTGTAGGAATCTCTGGAAGGCAAAATCATAGCAAACCTGTCATCTTCCATCTCCCACCAAGGAATTCGCCTCACTATCAATGGCTCTGTCAACTTGCAGGCAATTCTCGTCCCCTCTTCTCTTTTTCTTCTTCTGCTTCTTAAACTCCAGTTGATATTTTTAATACATTCCTATTGCCGCATTTTAAATCTCAAAAAGAAAAAAAATTTAAGTTTTGTAGGTTCGTGGAGGAACAGCTGGGGTGATTGAGTCCTTCTACGGTGTCGTCAAGCCTATCCCCATTGTGTACGAAATCCCTCAGCTCTTTCCTTGTTTCATTAATCGTTTTCAGTAATTGAAGCTCGTTAATTACTCAATACTCTTATTCACAGCTTAAGATTGATAATATGGCTTAAGGAAATTTTGTCTGCATTTCAGTTGATTTTCTAGTTTCACGTGTTGGAAGGGTTGTATCAAGGCTGTCCTTTCATGTTTCTTGTGATAATTCATGTTTCTTGTGATATAATTATCATTTCCTCGAATAAAGATTGGACATTTGACACAGAATTAACAATATTGAGCCTCCTAAATCCGTAGATTCAAAATGTTTACCGGTTTATGTTTCCCTTAGAACTATGTATGCTGAGCTTTTAATGAATGTTGATAAACCAATCTTGTTATTGGTGGTCCTTGTTCATTGCATTTTTTTAATGCCATAATATCTGTTTTCCATATCAGGAATAGGACTGTTACAGTCCAGCCTTCTGGAAGGATTGCTTCAGGTGTCACAGAGGTATGTTTTTTGTGCACTCCCAAGGGTTTGTTTGCTCATTCTTGATTTTTGCATCTTGGTATCAACTGCGAATTTTTTGTCTACTTGTCTAAGCAGTATGCAGAATTATGTGTTAGGAAATAATAAGTTGAATCTTTTTTCTTTACCCTGCTATTTTAGATACCATTTTCTGTGATCCTGAAAGAAAGAGGAAAAGACGATATGGAGAAATTTTATGAAACTTTTCATGGAACCGATATTAGTATTCAGGTATGCACTTACTTCTTGGCAGCTTTAAATTTAATATTCATTTGATTATTCATATTGTTTGGTGTCTACTGAATTCCATCATAGTATCTGGTAACTGCAGAAGTTGCAAGAGGGTACCTTCATAAATCTTTGTCCACTGCAGTGGAATTCATAATTGAAAGTGAAAAAGGTGTGGCTTCAAATGTCTATGTGGTCTTTTATAGTCTTTTCCACAAAATATCACTAAGCTTGCTCCATTGTCTCTCCTACTTTTCAGACAGTCTTCCACAGGAGCCTATATCTCCTGAAATGGTGTTCTTTTACATCACTCAGGACACTCAAAAACACCCTTTACTTCCTGAGCTGAAATCAGGTTATTCTCCGTTCTCCTGCCTTCCACACTTTTGGTTTTCAATTTTAGATTTCTATTTGAAGTCAATTGTCAAAATTAGAAAGTAATTAGTTCTTGATGTCAACTTAGAGCTTTGTGTACAATATTTGCATTTTGACGTAAAATTTAGTCATTTCATGTTTCATTATATTTTGGTGTTTTCAGAACAACATCCTGGGGCACTTTTATGGACACACACACACACACACACAGATGCATCATCTGTTCCTCTTTTCTTTATAATTTCCTTTATGCAGGAAAGGCTTTCTGGTATAACTTCTAAAAGATCCACAATTTTGATCATAAGACATTGTTGATTATTGATTCACAAATAAAAGTGGGCAGAGACAATTGAGGATTGTAACGTAGCCAAAGAAGCTAGGTATTTTCTATCTTGGAGAGATCATAGAGGTTTTCGTTCGTGTCCTGACAATATATTTGCTGCAAGTATATGTAGCAACTCCAAAAGGTAGAAGAATGCATTCCTATCTCTGTATGATGTAAGCTTGAGAGTATCCTATTCTAGAGATGTCTGGAGTTGCAAATTGGATAGAATTTGACGTGGTTGACACCACATCTTTGAAGGCTTTCCTCTTTTTCATCCATCTTTCTATAATTTTTAATGTCTAGTAGTATCAGAATTGCTTATTGTAAGATTAAAATTGATTTCTTTGCTTTAATAAACTATGGAATTACTATTGCAGGTGGTTTCAGGATAAGTGGCAAAGTATGTTCTCAGTGTTCGGTCTTAGATCCACTTATTGGTGAGTTAACAGTTGAAGCATCTGGAATCCCTATTCAATCAATTGACATCCACTTATTTCGCGTGGAGTCAATTTTGATTGGCGACAAAATAGCAACTGAAACCACTTCTATTCAGACAACACAGGCAAGAACCTTCCTTTGTTGAACTTCAGAATCTCTATTTGCATCGTTTCATTGATTTTCTGCCAGAATCTTGCATCAGATAGCAGATGGAGATGTCTGTCGTGGCTTGACCTTACCCATATATGTCATTCTTCCACGCCTTTTGACTTGTCCAACAATTTTCGCAGGGTGCGTATATGATTAGATGTAGATGTTGTTTTGACTTCTTTTTCTGTTAACACAAAAGTTTCTGAAACACTGGGTATTGTAAACTAGGCCATATGAGTGCTTACCTGCTTTAGCTTTGAAAAAAAGCATTCATATTATTGTTTACTTTCACAGAGGTAAGACAGGATTATGAGTAGGTGCTCATTCAAATGTTTTGGTCACAATCATTTAGTATAATTAGTTTAGATCAGTTGTCAGTCTGTATAACTGACAGAGGAAGCTGACAGGCCACAGTTCTAGCCACATATTGGGGCTACCTTCAATCTGATTGGAAAACTTAGTCTTAAAGATGTTTATCTGCTTCAAGTTTGTCAGAATATAGTTACAAGCCTTTGGTCAGGTTTAGATTCCTCATTGTAATGTGACAAAACCTTTTATTTATTAGGTTGGATTCTCAATTATATTCTTATTCAGTTGGATGTATTACTTTAGTTTTTGGTATAAATCTGTTGGTTAAGTTCACATTAGTACTGCAAATGTAGGATAAGGTAATTGAAATCTTCTTATGGGATTTTTTTTAAGTAATATAAAATCACACATCAGAGCGGGGGGGCATTCATACTTTTCAGTCTTCTTTGGAGTGATGTGCTTTTGATTTATCTATTTGTATTGTTGATGTTCCATACGATTGAGCAGTTGAAGAATTTCCACTTACGAATTGTTTGGGTGCAGTCCATTCTCAATAGAGTTCAAAACTACCATCGTCATTACTTTTAAATCAGAGCAAACCAAGAAACATCCAAAATATGATCCAAAAACTCCCAGATCATATGTAAGCATAATTTGTCTAATTTTGTACTTGGACCTTCCTGCTGTACGTATCTAAACAAAATTGTCATTGGGATTTAGATGGCTATGGAAAGTGTGCCTCTGGAACTGGTGCGCAAAAAGTAAGATGATTGGAGGTAACTCTCTAATTCTTTGGCATTGTCACTGTAATCTTTAAGTAGTTGTACTTAGTTTCAGTTTTCAGTAGTGTGATCAGCAAATCTGTACTATCGGCTCTGATTCTCTATATTCGGACTCCTTTTGTGCTTCGGGTATAGCCATTTACACCTTATGAGCAACGCTTGGCAGTATGTCAATATGTTCTTGCAACAACTTGGAAGAGAAGAATATCTCCAACTCGAGCTGTCAATTGGTTCAAAAAGTTTGTTCATGTAACTACTTTTTGACCTAGTTGAAATGACCCATATTCATTGATTAGGATCTCTGAGATGCCAGATCTACGACCATGTAGCAAAAGCACAGTACAATGGCCGGAAAGTCTTCAAATATGATGCTTTATCTCTTTCAGTTCCTGTTCAACTGTTTCTGGAAGATTTGTAAATATGTATTATAGGATCAGCTTCTTGTATTGCTGTTAGCTATCGGGGTACAGTTTATAACGAGTTTTTAGTTGGAATTCCAAATTTAACTTATGTACTAGAGTCTTGGATATTAATAAACTTAAAACCTTTTTATCTTTCATCCCTTCGGGAGTTCTTTCTGGAGCATTGGCTTGGCTTGAAACTTCAAGCAAAGGAATCAATTTTAACTTGCCATGGAGCCTAAGATACGTGACCCTGGTAGAAAAAAAGGGAAGAATCAGGCTAAATCAATCCGAGGAGGACTTCACACGAGACGCAAATGTACAGATTCCACAATATAAAATGACACAATGATGTATGTGTCACCACTTCCCAAAAATGATTTATTTTTCTTAGATTGATCAATGCCAGATTTAATTTTCTTCATGCAACATCACCCTTCACAATATCAGATCCTTCATGTGTTTGTCTTTGAAGAAAAGAACCCATCAAGATAGCGAGAGCTCAACCATACACTAGACTCAGCCACATCCGTCGAGGTTGGGGTAGCTGGGGGAGTCATCATGCATAAATCAAACATTGACGAAGATGCAGACCAAAAACAAACAGAATAAAACATTTGAGGCGGAAAGAAAAGATGCATAGATAATTAGATACATGTTAACAAGGCCCATAAAATCATCCATAATGCAGTTCACACTTCAAGATGTATATTCATCGAAGTTCTGATTAAAGGTAAAACAATCATCTTTTGCATACAAAGTCGGACTTTATTATTAGCATTTGCTTCTCTAAATTTCTTCAACATCTTTACTCAACTGAAAACTCAAACAGCATGCTGTGTTCATACTTCTCTCCCGGTCGAACAACAATAGAAGGGAAATCTGGTTGATTGATCGCATTCGGAAATCCCTGTGTTTCCAAACAAACCCCAGAATGTTTGTCATACTGAGCACCTCCTTTACCAACAATTCCATGTACGTAGTTGGCTGTATAAAACTGCATACCAGGAGCATTTGTCCATAAGTTCAGAACTCTTGAACTCACTGGATCCTTCAATTTCACCGCATGCTTCAGCCCCCATTGCTCATCTTCACAATCAAGCACATAGTTGTGGTCATAGCCTATGCCAACCTCGTGGATACGACTACCAATTTTCTGCTCAGTGGTGAAGTCAAAAGGAGTATCTTTAACCGGCATGATTTCTCCTGTTGGGATTGTATTCTGATCCACAGGAGTAACATGCTTTGCCAATATCTGAATAGTATGATCAAGAACGTTTCCTGAGTTGTGGCCTCCTAAGTTCCAATAGGTATGTTGAGCTAAACTCACTGGGGTTGGTTTGTTTTGAGGCACAGCTTCCATGTCTAGCCTCAATGTTGTTGCTGAGGTGAGTGTGTAAGTTGCAGTTACAGCTAATTCCCCTGGATAACCTATTTCCAAGAGAAAAAGAAGAATTACTTGCAGCTTTGCATCCACCATATGAGAGAGAGAGAGAGAGAGAGTACCTTCCTCCCCATCACGGCTATAGTATTTGAATGTGATTGATGGTTTATTGCCTTGCTTGTGTTCCACTACTTCCCACACAACCTTGTCATATCCCTTATGCCCACCTTGAAAAATTGACAAAAAAAATAGAGGTAAACTGATCATATTCTTGATACAATAATATGTAAATCAAACACTGGGAATGTGAGGATGAATCATGAGATCTATAGATAAAAGCAGAGGCTTAAAAATGATCAAAATGTCCAAACAAGTACAAAGAAAAAAAAAATGAGACATGAAGCGGATAATTGCAAATTTCACTCATGCAGCAGAAATTGTGAAATTTCTATCACAAGGAGCAGTTATGCCCTATGCATCTAACAGCTCAAAATCACAAATCCATTTTTAAGAGTACTACACAGGAGAAAAAAGCTTACAGGTCATAAGGACAACTGTTGGACTACCCAAAGATAAGAAACAACGTAATACTTCAGGAGCCAATTATCATTTGCAGCTACTGAATTCGTTGCTGACTATGGCAAAGGTGAAATCCAGAAAAGAAGTCCATCAGTAAATTTTGAGAACAGTCGCGGTAGTTACTATTACATTTAAATGAGGTAGAATGAAGGATAGATATGAGTAGAGAATTGAGCTGAAGCATGATCCCCTCAAAAGAGCCACAGTCATCCACATGATTTGCTGTAAAGTACAAAAGTCTAAACAGGTAAAAGCCATCAAAACTGATGCATGTGTTTCACAGCAATATGCTGAAAAGATTTGATGTTTCTGACTCCCATTCATATCATCAGTATCTTCTAAGTCCTCGCAAGCAAACCATGCAGACTCAATCAACGAAAAAGTTCCAATGTAGTAAAACAATATGTGCAGTCACAACTCATATCATGGCATCTCGATCGTTGAAACAGACAGCGAGTTTGGAGGCCGAAGGGGGCAATATACTCTTTGAAAGTAAAACTTCCATTTCATGAATATAGTTTTAAAACACAATTTCCTCTAGTTCAGCAATCATAAGATCCGGTGTTCCTCTATCAGAGTCATACTAATGGATAAAGATTTCAACAAGAAGTGATTGTGTTGTTACCATGGAGACTGTTTGGAGGCTTGTTGATGGGCAAGGAGTAGTGAGCACCATCGAGTGTAAATTTGCCATCTTTAATCCTGTTTGCAACCCGGCCAACAATGCAGCCAAAATAAGGTGCAGCCCCTTTCTGAAGCATGCACAGACATAGAATAATCAAAATCCCAGTTACCTGCGATCAAAACTGAACAAACCAACCAAAACAAAAACCAAAAGGGTCCTTCCAATTCACCTAAAACCAACAAATCCCTAGACCAAATTCTGATCAAAATCCAATACCAAGAAAAGCCACAGAAGCGTTTGAAGCACAAATTAGCAAATAATAACAGCTAGAAACTCACCAGATACGGCTCAAGTGCGTCAAATCCAAGAACAACATCGCCCAATTTTCCTTCACAAATCCATTATAAAGAAAAAGACCCACAGCATTAGTAACAGAGTCAAATTGATCAAAATAATTGGATTCGATCAAAACAGCTAAAATAAGTAGAAAACTAAAAAAGAAAAGAAAAGGTACAATCACTAGAAGTACCATTTTTATCAGGGACAGACAATGAGGTGATGGTACAGCCAAGATTGGAGACCTTGAGTTGGATGGTGCCATTGTTGAGTTCAAAGAGCTTTGGTTCTGCCATTTCAGCAGCTTCTGATGAAGATGAATTGAGTTGTCCAGTTGAGATTGGATGACTTCTAAGTGCGTACGGTGGGTGACAATTGCAGACGTAGTAGTACGTGTTTATAAAAGTGCAGAAGAATCGGGTTCCGTTGTCTTAATGACGTCATTATTCTCGTACTAATCTCGGATAAAGATTACGTGCGTTACGGATAGTTATCCATTTTCCTTATTTATTTATTTTGGTACAATCGATTAAGGATGTTTTCGGTCTTTCAGAGTCATCAAACATAACGAACTAGTTGTACATTTAAATGTGAGACAGCTAGTAAAAAATCTAATTACTTGATAAAAACAAAAATCAATAGGTCAAATCCTCAAGAATTTAGAACCAATTTAAATTGCTATTTTTAAAAATTTTTGCAAAAAAATATGTTATAAACATGTAATATAATATATGTGATATAAAAAGATAATTAAAAAATATATTTACAAAAAATATAAAAATATTTGAGACAAAAAGTGAACAAATTTACAAAGGCAAGGTGATGATTATTTGCTTGTTTTTCTTTTTTGGGTGGGCAAGTACAATTTAAGGAACCACTGGGCCAATGGCTCAGTGGCCACCAGGAAGGGACTTAAGTCCCTCCTTGGGCTGTTGGCTAGGGTTCAAACCTCACCAGCAGCGAAAAAAATCTAAGGGTTGTGCCATAACACTCCCTTGGTCTAGTTGGGTTTGTATACCCACTAGCCCCTATAACAGTCTCTTTAGGCTCCCCCTCCCCTAGATTAGGATAGAGTAGGTTATACAAATGTATCGTAGCTGACAAAAAAAAAGTACAATTTAAGGATTCCGCATGCCTTTCAAGAAAGGTTGAATTGTTAATAGAACCCTCCAAAGCCGGAGGAGTGGGAGGGCTCTTGTGATCACCAGGAGTAGTACCGGGTGGAGAGAAAGGTGGAATGGAAGAAATGCGTGCAACCACTGAAGTACAGTCGTGAGTATAGCAGGAGGCAAGTAAGCTATGGCCACGGAGGAGGCTTCGATCCCGACCCTTTACCAGCTCGGTGGAGGAGCAAGTCCATGATGCCACCACGGAGAAAGGCAGTGGCCAAACCCCCAAGGAGGCTTGAACCCGCCAGCAGGATGGGGAGGAAATGCACAATGCCACCGCAGGGGAAGGGCGTGGCTGGATCCTGCCTACAGCCCAACTTTGATGACTTGCCTAGTAGAGCCCAATTTTGATATGATATGAGTGCAACTTTGGGCTTTGCCATTAGCTAGGCCGAGCCTGCCCAATGCCAACTTCATATCATTAGTATTAGCCCATGGACTGCAAGCTCATAAGCTTTCTGTGTTTTACAAATTTTGGTCTCGGAGACCGTGGATGTAAAATTGCAGTCAAGCAAACAAACATCACTAAAAAGAACATTAAAGAACTGCAGTACGGAAACAAAAATCAATCTGACTTATTTCGTACCCCTGTTCAATGAGAAATGGGTCAATCTTCTGAATCATGTCCGTCTAGATTACTCATTTTCAAGCCCTCCAATGCCTTTGGCCCCAAGAAAAAGAACATTAAAGAATTCTACCAAATTTTGAAAAGTCCTCCAGAATATTAAATTCCTCCTTGGCTTCCAAGAAAAACTAGCAAGAACAATTGTGGTTCAATTCTTTGATGCTTGCTTCACCAAATGCCTAACCCCCTAAAACTTACATTAGCATGCATACTTTTCTGACATCTATTTAAGGTCGAAAGAAGAACAACCATCATAAAAGAACTACGAATACTCAGCAAGCTTTTATTTAAGTCAAAAAGATTTTACATAGAACCAGCAGCAAACAAGCTTATTATATCCTCAGCCACAGCATTCATCTACTTTTGTATAGCCCCTGATCTTGGCAACAAACATACAGGAGCAGCAAAAGTTTTTCAATCAACCGGCAGAAATGGTGTCGCTGAGGCTGCAGAAGAGGCTAGCAGCCAGCATTCTCAAGTGTGGAAGAGGAAAGGTCTGGCTTGACCCTAATGAGACCAATGACATCTCCACTGCCAATTCTAGTATGTCATCCTATGCTCTCTCTATGTCTTCATTCAACTCTCCAAGAAAATCAAGCGCACACTTGCCCAGTAATCTGCAGTTATAGTATTCCAAAATGAACTTACAGATCATTATACAATCAGAGCCTTATAGTACTGGGATAGAGAATCGTGGAGTTGTGGTATACCGATAATAGAATTGTGATATTGAAGCTACTATGGTTTGAATTAACTTCTTCATATCTTCCTAACATTTTGAACTGGATGAGTGCTATGTATGTCCGTCAGTTTGCTAAATTATATTTTACTAAAAGGATTCTATTTGTTTGCAGGGATGGTTATAAGAATGCTCATAAAAGACGGTTTTATTATCAAAAGGCCTAGAAAAGTACATTCAAGATCACGTGCTAGAGAAGGAAAGGAAGCAAAAAGAGAAGGTAGGCATACAGGATATGGAAAGAGGAAGGGAACACGTGAAGCAAGACTTGCGACAAAAGTACTATGGATGAGAAGGACAAGGATATTAAGGCGCCTTCTACAGAGGTACCGGGAATGCAACAGAATCGATCGGCACATATATCATGACATGTACTTGAAAGTCAAAGGAAATGAATTCAAGAATAAGCGTGTATTAATGGAGAACATCCACAAGTTCAAGGTCAAGAAAATCAGAGAAACTTCACTGTACAATCAGTTAAGAGCCAGGAAAGCCCACAGCAAAACTGCTGCTATGGACCAGAAACAATGAGATATAGAGAGTGATAGCAATGGAACCATCATCATTGTCATAAATAAAATCATGTTAATTGCATTAATGAAACTTCAGGCCTTAAGTTCTTCTTTGTTTCATTCAAATCATTTGACTCTGTATTCCTCTTCTTGTTACAAAGCTGATGGACAAATTGGTACATATACTAATAAGAATATTGTGGACTGTACACATGGATGGACAACACTTAATATTGACAAAAAGTTTACAGGTTCAACAATATTGCCAAGTAATTTGCCAGTCAAGAAATCTAAGAACACAGAGAAAGAGAACACACATATGCAAACTGCACAGGCACACACACAGAGATAAAGAAAATGCTGTCACAACAAAACACATGCTTTTCAAGGTAATAATACCTCTCATTCTATTGTTGCATCGAAGAACAGTCCAATGCTATTCCATGGACTCTGATTTCGATGCTTGCACCTGCATGATAGATGTATGTAATACACTTTCAGGATGTCATATGCCTTTAGAGATCTATTTTGACTTGCACGCAATATATTCACCAATGCCCTTCTAAAGGAGCCTGAAGGCACGACCATTTTGAAAATTCTGGATGTGTAAAATCATATGAGTTATAGGACTGGAATAAAAGCAAAGAGAATCAAACACAAGACATGAGAAGCAAGCTACACAGAATGACAATAAAGACAATACACCTAAATGCTAGTGGAATGCACTGCACTAAAAAGAAGTAAATAGCTCATGAAAAGACACATTCAAATCTGAAAGGAGGATCTTTACCATAATATATCAGCACAAGAACCATAAAACCATAAGCACTTCTAATATCTAGTAGGAGAACATGCAAAATTCTTACATGGTAATGTAGTGTAGGTTTAAATGTTGAGGTCTCTTGAATTAGCCTAGCCCTTAATGAACATTTTTAAGGGTTGATTCCAGAGTTAGCCAGTCAACGTCAGGCCAGGAGAGCCCAACTAAAGATTAACTCAAAAATTCTCAGAAGTCGAGAGCTTAAAACCATGATGAACATTATCAGATTCTAAAAAAAAATCAGGCGGCCATTCCTTGCTGTGATTAATGCAACCAACATTGATTACAGATGGACAAGCTATGCAAAAGAGGACTTACTTGGATATTTGATGCTACAGCTCAAGCATATCGAATCTGTAGTATGCCCCTTATTAAACTTATATAACTAAATGCTAGCTTCATTATGGGCCTTGCCCCACCGACGTCGACGAGCTCGCCTTTTTCTCCCATCCTTTTTTGCCTTAGCTTTCTCTTTTAAGTCTCTTTCACCACGCCGTTTATACATCTTAAAGGTCATCTGTCTCTCAGCAGCCATTTTCCTCACCTTCTCTGTGATTTCAGCAGCAAGTTGCCTGTTGTACAGCTTCCTCAAACCACGCATTAGCTTGGCAAAGGTGTCTGGCTGAGGCATCACGCCATTATCCATCATATCCAAACAGTACGAACAAGCTTCCTTCACATGCCCCTTTGAGAAGAGTGCATGAATCCAAATTGTCCACGCATATGTGTTGAGTTCACATCCTTTAGTCATAATGCAACTCCAGACATCTTTAGCCATTTCAACCTTATCAGCTCTAAGCAAAGAATTTAATAGATCCTTAAGGGTACCATATTGAGGAGCAGACAGCAGACCTCTCAAGATCATATCTTTAAAGTAATTACATGCTTCCACCAGACACCCTTGCTCCACTAAGCCATTTATCATAATGACAAAAGAGTCAACCCCTGGACTTATCCCATTCACTTCAATCTGATTCCAAAATCTAATACATTCTTTAATCTCCCCCAACTTGCAAGACAATCGGATTAAAGTATTGTAAATGCTGACGTCAGGAACTAAACCAATCTTCTGCATCTCTTCCACAAGTTGCATACACTCCTCCAGCTCTTCCTTCTTCTCATGAGCCAACATGATGTGCAAATACGTAGTCTGAGTAGGAGTGAGCCCCTTCTGTATCATGCCATCCAAAAGCTCATACCCCTTATTTATCTTACCCCACTTACAAAATCCACTTATCATAGTAGTATATGTCACCACATCAGCCTCACACCCACTCCTTTCCATATCGCTTAAGATTCGGATTGCTTCATCCATCTTTTCCTGAGCACAAAGGGCCTGAATCACAACAGTAAATGATGTTGCGTTGGGTTCACAACCCTTCCTCTTCATCTCTTGCAATAGATCAAATGCATCTACCATTTTCCCAGCCACTGCATATCCATTAAGCAAATTGTTGTAGACCACAATGTCAGGTTCAAACCCTGCTTCCTTCATTTTCCCCAATACATGTTTTGCCTCCATAAGCTTCCCTTCCCTACACCAACCATATAACAGTGAAGTAAAATGCTTAATTGTTGGCTTAAATCTCATCCTCATATCGTCGAAAAGCAATGCAGCTTCTTTAACACTGCCATTCTTGCACAAAGCATCCAACAAACATCCAAAAACATACTCATCTGGTTCACACCCGTATTTTGGCATCTCATCCAAAACTTCAATAGCTTTCTTGACCAGCTTTGCAGAGGCAAATCTCCGCATCAGAACAACAAACATCTCAGGCGATAACAGCTGAGGATTCTCCTTCCTCATCTCCTCAATAAGAGCCCAAACAGCTCCAAATTGTCTCATTTTCCCCATAATCCTGATCATTGCCTTATACACATCATAACTATGCCTATAGCCCGGCTGTTTCGACGCCCACACAAAGAAACTATATCCTAAGTTTCCAGCATCACCACAACGGTTCAAAACTCTTTCGGTCAATCCTGATCTTACAACAACGCCTGATTCTTTCAAGGCAAGTTCCAATTTCGGGGCTCTAGTATGAAATTTTCTCAAAATTCTATAAATCTTTTCAACATCAGCAGAAAATTCATCATGCCTTTTACTGTCCATTGAGCTTTCTGGTTCAGAACTGAGGCGAATTAAGTCATGCCCTTTTATTGCTTCACTCGAAACCCTTCCACTTTCTTTCCAAGAACTGGATTTTACCGAGTTTTGGGCTAAACCCAGATGGGAATAGGTAGAAAAATGAATAGGTAGAAAACTGGATTTTAACGGCCATTTTCTGCAGAGAGCTAGGAATTTCTTTGAACTAGCTCTCTGCATTCTTTATTTGGATAAAACCAGAAAATTTCCACAAACCCAAAAATCTTAAATCATGTAAAACAAAAATGGGAAATCTAAACCTTTGTGGTGCTCTGCGCCTGGACAGGGTGTTCTAATGGCACTTTAGACATGGATGAAGGAACGTAATTATCCAAAACAGATTCTGCAGCATTTTGATGGACACCCCTGCTTCTGCTTTGATTTCTGATTATTGAGTTTTGCTGGAAGAAGAATTGGAGCTGCAATCAATTCTGCTGAAGACTGATTTCGGGCATCAAGATGAAGTGAGTGGAAGTGAATGGCAATTTGGGCCTGAATGCCCTCAGTACTGGGCCACTCAAGACTCAAGTGACCGAAAATACGAAATAAAAGCCGGTCCACTCAGTGAATACGGTCAATAAGTTTTCTTCTTTCTTCTTTCTTTTTTTTTTTCTCATTTTGTTTTTTCAAGAGATCATTGGTTTGATTGGAATTAATCTTAAGAAGAAATTCATTTATGTCATAACTTGTCCCGTCAAGTCAATGTACTTAGCTTACTCGTTCAATTGGAAGGAGGCCGATGCAAATTATGTTGCAATAATTCTACAAGAATAAACCGGTCAATTCCTGTACTTTTTTCCTATTTATTTTTATACCTTTTTTTTTTTTTGGGGTCCTGCCATCAGAAGCATGACTATTTCAAATTGCCAAGTTAAGAGAATTGAGTTTTGGGACTTAAAATGTAGCCAATGGATTGAGGACAAATAGTACACATATTTGTGGGCAGACCACATGAAGAACTGAAATTCAGAATTACATGGTATAGTAATTGGCACTAAATAGGATCAAGGTTTTAGACATCTAAGATATCTAAGGGTAGAAAGAAAGTAAAGAACACAGAGAGATGAAAGAAAATGCTGTTACAAATAGACATATTCTTCTGTGCTTTTATCTCTGCTTTCCGAGGTATTTATATTTTAAACCTCTCGTTTTGATGCTTGAAGCTTGAAGACTGTCACCATGCTTTTCCAGCTGAACCAAATAGACGCATCTTCTCTGCAACCACAGCCTTCATGGCCTCCTTGGCAGAGGTCATGACTTGGATGAGATCTTTCTTGGAGCTGTATAATGAATCCATATAAGCCTTTCGCACCTCGGTGTTGACATTGAACTTCCTTACTCCTAGCTTTATACATTCCTGGGAATAATCATGCATGCGTAACATCTATTAGTCAGCATTTTCCAGGTTCGACTTGAATCAAGAACTTCAAAGTTGTACCGAATGCTCTCTAGAAATAGCTAAACAATAGTTAAACAAGCAATAATACCTCGATGAGCTCCTTCGGCAATCCAGAAGCTCCATGGAGAACAACATAAACTCCTTTCTTTGAACACAGACCATAAAGATCCTGGAGAGATAGCAGAGGGGAGGATTAGAAGCTTAACAGGCATGGATGCTTAATCTTTCTTGCAATCAAAATCATGCACAACAAAGATAAGAAGTAAAAAAAGCAAGCTTTTCTGACAATTTCCACGGTCGCAGCATTTGACCAAAGTCGCTAAGATTTTGCTTACAAAAATTACGCAAAAAAAAAAAAAAAAATTTACAAACTAGGACGGTATAATGGCATCTGACAGACTAATATACATACACAGCCCAGCATTGTGACAAACGGCATAAGTTAGCAAGAAAATTTATAATGACAATCTAGGTTTAATAATCAGGTAGCAAAAGCTTTAAAAACTTGCAGAAGCTAAGGATACTTGTAAATAAACCAAGTAAACAGCTTTCAAGTTTCAACAGTAAGGTTTTTGGCAGATGGACCAAATAAACAAGTATGATAGGTGCCAGTGACACATATAGGAGCTTGGAAATCATCAGCAACATCCTAACAGAAAAGTGCACACAATCTAGCTTTCACACTCCAAAACTCTGTGGATGTCCAACGATCTTAAGAATACCGACCTAGTGCTTTTAGTGCATTTATTAATGTGATTTAGAAAGATAAGCATGCATGTGAACACTTCAACTGAAAGCTTGCTTACCCTACAAAATACAAAAATACAACACAAGAAGGAATATATATGCTTGACCTTGAGCAAATCAAGTCTAAGATTTGGACCACTTTCAGGGTACTTTCCATGAACATTCCCAATGCACACAGCCAAAGCGTCTATACCCGTTGTGTCAATGAACTCGTTTGCCTGAAATTCACCAAACACTTAAGGTCACATTGGTAATTAACTGACACGAATATCTTCAGAATTTCAGACAGTTCCTCTGTAAGAAAGAGCAACGTATTAGACAGATAGAGAACCTGGGTAACATCAGTTAGCCGAGCCTCATAATCTTCAACAGTCAGATCATCTTCAGTTCCTGACAATCTTCCCAATTCAGCTTCTACCACCATATTTTTGGTGTGCGCCACTTCTGCAATGGATTTTGTGTATGATATATTCTCCTTGAAAGGAAGGTCAGAACCATCCACCATGACCGAATGAAATCCCTGCCATGGTAATTAAGTTGAGAAGCTATGTGACAAGATAAATATCTATAGCTTAAATGAAATTCCTGGGAGCATATAAATTCTTTATCAGGCGATAAACATAAAATACAAGTCTCATAGAAGTCAACAAGAAGCTTACCAACTCAAGAGCTCCCAACAACTCTTGTTTTGAGCTTCCATGATCAAAATGAACAGTAATAGGGACCTGCATTGAAGTTAATAAAGTTATTCAAGCTAACTAGCAATCAAAAGCAGTATTAGGGAAAAAGAAAGGACAGCCATTGGTATTTCAGATTTTAATCAAATATAAGATTATATGTTTAGACTCAAATACCATTTAGACAAAGTTATGGGTAAGCATCTTTCATTACTTTATCACTTTCTTCAGGGAGGGGGTTAAAAATTTAAAGTAAAGAGACCTAAAATACCAAGGCATATAATAAGACTCTGCGCATAGCCATTGCATTTAAGCTGCATATGACGAGAATAACAAATCAGTGAAGTATAAGATTCCTTCACAAACCTAAGAATCTGTTGGTCATGTTCCTTGTTTATAGAAATTGGCCATCATATCACATTATACTGCGTTTTTAGCCGTTCAATGAAAATGATTTCTTCTCTTCCTCACCTATTTAGAAGAAAGTCCATTTGGATTTTATCAAAAATTTCTCAGCCATGTTTCCTTTTAGCAGAGTACAAGTGCTAAAAGCACACATTACTGGGTTTTAAACAATATGTTACTTACTGTTGCTTGTTCTGCAGCAGAGATACAACAGGCAACCAAAGGGGTTCCTCCTTGTTTTAAAGCACTAGGATGGATCTGTATAAGTAGTGGTTCAAAATGATAAATCAGTGTCAATGACTAAATGACTCCAATAGAGCATAAATTTAGTTAATCAAGAACAGATTTAATACAAAACATTAATCTGTGAAATTGAAAGCTTTTTGTTCTCTCTTGCAGTTAAAGCCTGGAAAGTTGATTGAAATTTTGAGCATGAGAGTCTTGAATGCATCGGCACCTTGCAAGCATCATGTATTGTAGTACATAAACAAAGGAATGAAGTACACGACTGAAATAAAATAGAGTACTAATTAAGCACATGTTTAATTAAAAGGAATAAATGAACCCAGGTACTACTAAAATGGGGTTTCAGTTGAGCCAACTTAGGCTCAGAGAGAGGTTGAGAAGTTATGAGACAATGTTGTCATATTTCAAGTGGCAGTCCCACTATGCCATCCTCCAAAAATAAACACGTTGGCATACAAAAAGAAGGGGGTTAAAGTTTCAGGAAAGCATGTAAAGTGCAACACATATGTTTTGGAGTAAAACCATTTGAGAAATTTGACGTTTGAAGATATGCTTTTTTTATTACCATAGAAATTATAAAATTTTGATGTACTTAGGTGATGAACTTAAAAAGAGTTACATTCTTTTGCACAACCATCTTAATTTTTTACACTAGGCAAACCTTCAATGTAATTGGGCATAATTTCTTCAGGAATTTGAAATAGTATGAACTTTCTTCCTTAAGGATGACAAGGATACCAAGTTAGTCAGAAATTTGTATTTTCACGTCACATTTCAGATAGTATTTATAGCATTTGTAGCAGTCATGCTTCTTGAGAGCTTGAAAAAGTACAAAATTATCACACTCTGCCCCAAATTAATGTACTGCCAAACCTGTAAAATGGCAGGACTTCCTTCATCCTCTGCTGCAGCAACGACTGCCTGAACTCCTTCTAAATTATACACGTTAAAAGCTCCAATGGCGTATCCACCTCTTTCTGCATTCTAAACATGGAATAGATAATCATTACTTGAAATATGAGCCAGTTCACAAATTATTCAAAAGACAGCTCTTACATGGAGAAGTTCCTTAGTTGATGAGATTCTGTTGACACTAGCCCAATGTTTTACTACTTCAGCTAAAGCGTTACTGTCACCGACATTTCCTAAGTAAACATATAGGTTACATTATGGATCCAAAAGAAATCTCCGAGAGGAATTTGCACCATAAGAAGTACAACATTTCAAGTTACCTGGGAATACAATATATGGTACTTCAGGGTGTTTGCTTTCAGGACCTAGCTGCCACAAGGGAACACCAGGTAAAGCCTGACCAGCTATTTTGGCAGATCTTGCTCCAAGAGCTTTTGTAGCAAGGTCTGAAGAGGTTATACCACCCTGTGTAGGGAAAAGCTTATTTGAGCACTAAACTGTGAATACACAACACCATCATTGCCTATGTATTATTATAACACCCTAAGTATGTCAAACAATAAAATAGCAGACAACCCTTCCCAGCACCATCAGCGAAAGGGGTACTTAACGCGAGAATGTGATCTCCATTTGGAATTATCTCAACACATTTGCAACACTGCCTTTTTCCCCTCCTGTGTAACTTTAGCATAGGAGATTATGAAGCGCAGTCCTACTCAAAATATAAAAAGGATGCAACTCTGGATGATCTTTGTCTTTGGCATCAACAGCCCATGACATAACTCTTATGTTTGCTGGAGGACTTGTGCAGAGAGAGGAGAGAGGCCTTGGGAGGGTAGAAGATAACTCGGGAAATCTTTACAGATATTAGAAACAGTAATAAAGGACACTTATGGAATCTCTTCTATACTTCAGATTTTTTATGTTGTTCATATCATTATCTAATAACTTTACAAATGTATAGAAAAATAGCAATATCCATGTAGGTTCCAACCTAAACTGATGCATCACAATACTTACCGTGATTTCTAATTGCTCTATAACTAAGAAATGAAATGCAGTGTCTGGATAAGCAGGAAACCATCTGAAGAGAAAAGAAGATTGCACCACCCACTGGT